CCCTGGCTTCCAGGCCTGTTGTTATGGCAGCGGCACAGGGGCTGCATGTGTCCCAGCTCCTGTAGCTGACTCTGGTGCTGTCTGTTGTTTCAGTGTCGGTCACAATCTCTGGTCTTTTAATATCATAAGTGCTGGGTAACCGATGGTTTATTGTGCTGTTTCTCTATAGATCTGCCAGGATTTTCACCCACGAGTACAGGAACTAGAATCTGCTCCGTTCTACTCTGTCACCATCTTCCCAGCATTTTCTGCTCCTGAGAGAATTCTGAAAATAAATCATTTACTGAAAGGACTTTGTCTCAGACTCTTCTTCTAGGGAACACAAGATAATAGTCCTAGCAAACTGGCCTAAGATTGGTGAACATGTTTGGATCACTGCCTAGCCAGGCAGTGACAGGCAGAATATTGATAATTCCCGGATGCTGTAACAGTGTTATTGATAAAGTTCACCAGTAGGAAACTGGATGAGCAAAGGGGAAGAGGTTTTAGCTGGTACAATTCTCTGGCATTTACAAAGGGAGAAATAGTAGCTATAAGAACTGCGCATTTTGGTGGTACTTACTAAGCATGACAAATGTGCCATAAAGAGTACATGACAGGTTTAAATCTATAGTCACCACCTAAAGCAAAGAGATGCTCATGCCTGCAGCTGGAAGGCAGACAGTAAGAAAGTCTTGGAATAGGCCCTAATTTTAAGAAAGGTAGAATTTCAAGGAAGGCAGAATTCTAAGCTCAGTTGGCCCTCTTATTCCAAAGTCAAGGCCCTGATATAGAAGGAGTGAGCCCTGAAGCTCAGAATGGGCCTTCCTGGTCAAAAACGTCCTGAAATCCAGAAATAATGTTTAATCCAGCCACTTCATGATTCCATCAAGAGGACACATAAAGCTAACCATCATAATCACAGTGTGTTAATTGGGCCTGATGAGCAGAAAGTGTTTCTTGTCAAGTCACACAAGTACCAGATTCTGAGAGATAAGCTACCCAAGATTCAGAGGTATGTCATATGTATGTTTTTAGTGGTTCCATATTCTGGAGCATATCAGGATATCCCCTCCAAGCTCCAACCTGTTGTATCTTGCATATCCTACCACTAAGAAGTACAATGCTTGGTAGGCCTCACCAGGTAAAAGGAATAACCATGATCAACAGTTTTTTTCTGACAATTATTTTAGGCTTTGGATTGTGTGTGTTGGGGTTTTTATGTTAATAATCATAATAAAGTATGTTCTCATCAATGTTTTTCTCACATGGCATAATTATCTGTCAACAAATGTAGTGATATATATATATCTTCATCACTGCTTTTAGTTTTCCTTAAGCCTCGATTGCAGTTGGCTCTTGTTGGTGGTGTTTGGTGTTGTGACCAATGCTAATCTGGATGAAGAGGCAGCAGAGGCAGGCATGTTGGTGGCTCCTCTGTATGCTGATGGTGTGTCCCTGGGCAAGTTACTTACCCTCCCATGCACCTGTGGGACCTTCCAATGTAGATACTATTAGTGCATAGCTCAGTGGGTCATTGGGAGGATAAATGAGTTAATGTTTGCCATGCACTGAGAAAGTGCCTGACCCTGAGAGCAATGAGTGAAGAAACTAAGACAGAATAGAAACACCAAGTATTGGTTAGGGCATTTGCCAGCAACACCAATGTTGTCTGGGTGAGACAAAAGGGGACCTCACTGATGAAATGTGCCATGGCTCACAGAAAGGACAAGAAGGTTGGGTGCTGAGCCTACAGCTGCCCAAGAATGAGGGCGAGAACGAGAGCAGCCCCTGGAATTTGAGCACCAGACACATCTGAGCCATCTTGTTAAAGACTGCTGCAGAATTATGTTTTCTGTCTATCCTTTCAATTCTGTAATGAATTGCTCTCAGAGTCTATCTCCCCATAGAGAGTCCAACTGCCCAGGCTGGCTGAGTGCCATCTTTTTTTAAAATTTAAAAAATTTTTTATTTATTTTTTTTCTCATTTTTTATTTAGTTATTTTTCCAACATCTTTAGCAATAGTCCCTCTAGTTGTGTACACAATGATAAAAAGTTGTCCCCTGAATGAAAACCAGGTGCTGATAGGGAAGGGGAGGAGGCTGGGTGACCAAGGAAAACATGACTAACTGACAGAACCCACCCAGAGGACCAAAGAAGTGGGTCCTACTATCTTGCAGGAGGAATGGGACAATCCTGGTCAGTCAGCTGGGCCACAGAGCCTGGGCCTTTTTTAATGGAGCAGGTTGACTGTGGTCCCATTGCCCTGTGCTGTGGAGATAAAGGCTGAAGTGGTCATCCTGCTAGAAGGGAGAGTGTCCGCCCCAAAACACTGGATAGTCAAGAACAAGGAAGGCCACTAAACCTGTCATTCCTTAAGTGCTGTTTACCTGGACTCAGATACTAGCTGTTTCCTATGATGCTGGGAGCTCAGCTGTGGTCTTACCTGGGCGGGGTGGGGGGTGGAGGGTGGAGCGGGGCAGTGTGGCTGCAGGAGGACCTGGAGCTCCTGAGGTTCTGGTCTCTTGGTAACCACCCATCACCCGAACCTCCCAGAGAGGCTCCTCTGGGCATCACCTCATACCTTGCTCTGCTTTGCTAGAGAGAAGAGCCTCTCTCTGAGAGGAGTGGAGGGGACAGGGATTCTCCCATTTTTTCTGTGTAAACTGGGTGGGAAGACGTCTCTGTGAACATAATATTGAGAGAACAGCTGGCTGAGGATTATGGAAGGTGAACAAGGGCAGCCCAATTTGAAGGGAAGTCAAATCTCACAAGCAGGTAGCATCAGATATTTCCAGTTTATTATCACCTGGCTTGGAGAGCAGCCACAAGCTTGCATGAGGTGGTTAAATTTTGGTAAGAAAGTCCACTTTCTTCTTTAGTCAGCTGAGCCAGGGAAGAAACCCAGGACACCCAGGCTTTCTGGGGAGAGAAGGGAAATTCCAAGAAGAAAATCACAGGAAGAACCTCAGATTCTGTGTATAAACTTTCCCCAAGTCTCTTCAACCTGAGTTCCAAAGCAACTGACAGGGAAAATGTGTTGTAGGGAGGGGCTTAAAAATACCAGTTTTCTTCCTGGTAAAAGCTGGATCAGGGACATGGCATGATGCCAAAGAAGGATCCCTAAATCGGAATTGGATTTATTCACACAGCTTCCAAAGACTCAAATCAACCATGCACACACAGAATCCCTCTGAGGCCACTGTTCCTGTGCACTTGAGCTTGGAGGAGCACAAAGCCCAGGCCTCTCCACAGGATGAGCCCAGGGATACCCACTAGGGGAGCAGACTCACCTTTCACAGAACTCCCAGCCTGAGAGTGTCCCAAGAAAGAAGGGAGGGCAGGGGGACCAGGAGTACTGCTAATTTGATGGGCCACCTCCTAGAATGGGACATTGAGGCAGGGCTGAGTGTTCCCACTTAGGCCCAGGTGCCCCTCCCTCTCCATGCCTGCATCCACAGAGGTGCCTTTGGTCTCCATCCTCAGCTCAGTGGCTGCTGTTGCTGCTGCTTTCTTCCTCCTGCCTGTGAATTCTCAGGTCTGGATTCCTTTCCTCATCTCAGGGACAAACCTCTGTCCCCACAGGGTCTCCCAGGCTGGAGACTAATCCCATAACTGATATCTGCTCCTGGTGAAGCTAAGGAAGCCCATCCCTTCTCTGTGTCCTCAGCCCCATGTCCCTCCTCAATCATTGTCTCTCCTCTGCAGGTTTCCAGGCTGTGTAGCTCAGGTAAATTCCCTGAAAACAGGAATGGTCCCTGTTGTCAATACTCCTTGCCACCAGGGAAAATGCCCAGGCACTGCCTTCTTCCCTTCACATCAGTCCAGCAGGAGTGTTAGGGGGTCTACCTTCTGAACATGGTCCTATCTGGGTCCTAATCCAGGTGCATCTGATCTTGTTTTCTGGATCACAGATCTGGTTTCTGCACAGAGCTCTCCTGATCCCACAGAAACCACTGCTGTTCACTGAGTGGGGTGCCTGCTCAGCTTTCTCTGGCTCCAGGAAACACTCTTCTTCCCTTCAGTTGGGGCAGCCCCTGTGTGGGAGTGCCCACCTAGGAGGTGGGCTGCTGTGGGTTTCCCACCCAGTCGACTGATATCTGCCTCTCATTCACGTGGTGATTTGGTGACTCTAAGCAGACTCAGGGAAAAGCTGGCATATTTATGCCAATACCCAGCACAGTAGGGGCTTAGTCTGCCTACTGCTCAGGGGGACTGAGGGGAGGGGGAACACTGGAAAGGCAGGAGTCATCTGTGTCAGACTGTGTCTGGGCCATGAGTCCCTTGGAGGTGGGAGCACAGGATAGCCATGTCCTTTAGAGGCTCAGCTTACCAGTCTGGAGGGTGAGGGAGATGCCTGTTTGTGTAGCACCTGGGACACACTGAGACCCTGCCTGCTGGTAGAGGTCCTCCTCTGTGTCCTGGAATCTGTCCCAATGTAATCAATATTCACTCCTTTGTGGGGAAGAAAGAATATACATGGAGAGAGGGTGGAACTTCCCTTGTATCTTACATATAATTAGGCCAAAACCCTTAGTCCCATCTGGGGGAAGTCAGACTCAGGAATCAAATGTGGAACCCATTGCTCTGAGGATGGTGCTTCTCCAGCCCTGTGTCCAAATGGTGGGACCAGCTCAGTTGGCACCAAGCTCTCTACTGGCCTGAGTAAAGATCTGAAGTTTCTGCCTTTCCCTCTCTCCCTAGAGCCCTCTCCACATGGACAGGGGGCAGCATGGGTTCATTCCCTCCCCATGTAAGCTCTGTACCCTTTAGGAGGTTGGGGCAGCTGGGGACAGTGGGTCCACAGGTTGTTTTTGGTGTCTTTGACAAACGAGTGGACCCCTGGGAGCTGATCCTCCTCCCCTGGAGGTCCTTCTCCTCTGACCTGCCAAGTCCTGACTGCCCCTCCTTTTCCTCACATGTCCTGATGGCTGTGAGCCACAGGGAGGCGCAGGAGGAGGGAGACGTTGGACGACACTGAGAAAGTTACTTTCACTTTTGTTTTTCTATTTTGGGTGGAGCTCTCTCTGGGTGAATTCACACTTTTCCGGGGCAGGTCTGGACAGCCACACTGCGATCAGACTGGGGATTCCAGACGGATGAGGCCCAGGCAGGACCTGGGGCAGGACAATGACCAGTGTGGGCAGCAACCTCAGCACCAGGTCAGTCTCTCCCTTCCTTGAACTTCCTCTCTGGCTGTGCTGCTGCTTTAGTGCCTGTCATTAGACACTCAGCGAAACCTTGACCTTAGTCCTGCTTTACACATACACTCGCATGCAGTGTAGGGAAATGCAGGAATATGTGGTAAGGAAATCGGATCTTTAAACTGCAGAGGGACGGCCGCTGGTGTGAGAGCAGCTGCCACAGCCCACGGGACTCTTGTGTTACACCTACCGCTTTGCTGTGGAGCCATCGGGACTCGGCTTTGCTTCCTGGTGCTTTGAGAAAGGGATTTGTTATTTTCTCATGACCTCATTTTCCTCAGGCCTCCTCGTGGTTATTCTAAATAAGATAGCTTAAAAATTATAAAATTCAGGGTATCCACTGGACTTATCTTCAATCACCACTGGTAAGTGCGATCACGTACCTGACACGTGAATGGGCCTCTAGAAGGAAAAGGCTAAAAACCCATTTTTTTTCCTCTAGTAATAGGTTCAGAAACAACACTTCTTAATACATTTAATTAAAAGCTTTTAATAGAAAAGATATGCATTATAAATTTCAAATGACATGGATGTATGTAAAGGGAAAATGTTCTCTTCACTGCCCACCCCCTGCAGCTCCCAATCCTGGTCCCGTTAGGGTTGTGGACACAGCCTTCCATAACTTTTTCTGGACATGTACACATATAATTTACTTTCCTAAATACATAATTTTGTCTTGCTTTTTAATAAATGGTATAGCGTTGCATATGCCATTCCGTATTTTACATTTTCACTTATTTTAATATTAAATATCTTAGAGATCTTTTAACTCTCATAAACCTATAAATCCTCCTTATTGTTCTGATCAGATAGACACTGTTCCAAGGGTGCGCTGTGCCATATTTTCTAAGCAATTTCCCCCTCCATTGACTGACATTTAGTTGTTTTTCAGTTGTTCTCTTTTATCAAGAAGCTGTGTAAACAGCAACTATATCTATAATTTGCATATATATATGCCTCTGGCTTGTGCCAAACACCAAAAGTTGGAGTGTTTGAAACTAGGGGTGTAACATTTACTTTTTATAGATCCTGCCAATTTGCCTGTCAGTGTCGCTGAACCAATACATCCTCACACAGAACAAGTGAGATGTGCCATCTCCCCACACCCAAACCCTGCAGAGGTGGTGGGTAAAAAGTCACATCTTGTTTTAAGTCGCACTTTCCTGATTACATGGGGGTTGAATGTTTTTCCTGTGTATTGGCCATTAAAATGAAATGCTTGCTCATTTGTTGCCAATGTTATTCAGTTGACGTTGAAGTAATATCTACTATGTTTGTAAGGATTCCTTATTCATTGTATTTCTTCTTTTTTTTTTTCTTCTTCTGCCCTCTCTGGTTTTAATAACATTTTATTAGGATGGTTTTGTTAGCATGTTAATTCTACTCTTGAATTTAATTTATCAAAAACATTTTCTCAACACAAGATTATCATTTGACAGTTTTTGAGGTCTGATCTACCAAGTGAATCCCACAGGGCTAAACTGAGGAATTGTCTGGGTTGAATTCTTTCAGGAGGCTTATAGGGGAGACTCTTTTCTGTTGCCTTTTCTAGTTTTTAGAAGCCACCAGCATTCATGGCTCATGGACCCTTCCTCTACCTTCAAAGCCAGCAACATAGCGTCTTGAAATCTATTCCTGACTTTGACTTTTCTGCCTCCCTCTTCAACTTATGAAGTGCCTGTAATTACACGGGGCTCACTTAGATCATTCACAATTATTAATTTCCCCTTAATAAGATCCTTAATTTTTTCTTTTCTTATTGAAGTGTAATTGACACATAACATTATGCTAATTTTGGGTGTTACAAAACATAATAATTCAATATCTGTTTATATTGCAAAATGATCAACACAGTAAGTCAATATCCATCACCACACAGTTACACAATTTTTTTTTTGTGGGCAGAACCTATAAGATTTATTCTCTTCACAACTTTCAAATAGGCAGTTCAGTATCATTATCTATAGTTTCTATGCTGTCATGTCATTACCATGACTTACATCTTTTATAACTGGAAGTGTGCACCTTTTTCCCCAACCTTACCAATTTTTTTCCACTCCCAACCCTGTACTTCTGGCAACCACAAATCTGCTCTCTGTATCTATGTGCTTCATTTTTGTTTGTTACTTTTTGTTTTGGATTGCACACATAGTGAGACCACATGCATTTTTCTCTTCTGTCTGACTTACCATAATTTCACTTACCATAATGTTCTTGAAGTTTTTTCATGTTGTTGCGAATGACCAAGTAGTTATTATTTTTTACAGCTGAATAATATTTTATGGTATACATATACCACATTTTCTTTGTCTATGCACCCATGAATGAACACTTGATTTGTTTCCATATCTTGGCTGTTTAAAATAATGCTACAGTGAACATAGGGGTGCACATATCTTTTCAAGGTAATATTTCCATTTTCTTCAAAAAATACCCAGAAGTGGAATTTCTAGATCACATGGTAGTTCTATTTTTAATTTTTGGAGGAAGCTTTATATTATTTTTCATAGTCTCTGCACCAATTTACATTTCCTCTGACAACACCACAATTCTGTTTTCTCCACATACTCATCTAGACTTGTTATTTCTTGCCTGTGTGAGGTGCACTTCTTTTAAAATGTTTTTAGTAGCTGTCTGGAGTTCACACCACACAATTTATGCCACTTCACCTATAGTGCGGGTACCTTATAACAAACAGAATATTACCAAATTCTTGCTTCCATTCCTTATGACATTGCTGTTGTTTCTTGCACTTACCTATATGCTATCATTACCACCAGTGTCTGTCTGAGATGTCTGGGTTTTCTGTCTGCTACTGCTCTGCCTTCTCGACTTTCTCTTTAATGTCTCCAGGATTGGAGTCATTGCCTTCTGACTTTCACATCTTTCCCACTACTGGGTTACTTTTCTGTGTTTCTGTAATCCACCTATTGTATTTTTCTAAAAACAAGAGTGTGTCGCACACATTCCACATTAAATAAATATATAAGCAAGAGTCATACTTGTAGAGAATTTTTTGCAAGGTATTCATGTATAAAACAAATTTGATGCAACATAATAATGTATGATGCAGAGAAAGAAAATCATAATATAATATATGATTTTAAAAATCCTTGTAACATATGGGTAGGTTATAGTTTTCAATAGAGGAAATTATGTGCTTAGAGAGCATTTAGGGAAGCACACACACAAGGTTATTAAAATGGATTATGTCAGAGACCTGAGGACAGCAAAACACATGAGAAAGAAGAAGAGATGTGGTTGAAAATAAGCAAAAACATAAAAATAAAAATAGCAACTGCATAAACATTAAGAACACATATAAAATTGCATTTCAAAAATTTGTGTATGTGTATTAGCATGCATATAAAGAAAATTTTAAAATGTTCAGAAAAAAATACCCAAAATGTAGGTTTGCAAAATAAAATTTCTCAGTCCCACATGTCATGATTCACTCTGAGGATTCAAAGGCTGGCTCTACAAACTCTGTTTCCAAACAGATCTCTCTAGCTGTTTTTGCCATCATTATCCCATAGGAGACCAGTTTCTAATTTTTTTGAAACTTCTCAAATATTTCTCTTTGACCCTTTTTTTAAAAAAAGGATTTTATTTATTTATCTTTAGAGGGGAAGGGAAGGAGAGAGGGAGAGAAACATCAATGTATGGTTGCCTCTTGTGTGTCCCTTGCTGGGAACTGGCCTGCAACCCAGGCATGTGCCCTGACTGGGAATCGACCCATGATCCTTTGGTTCACAGGCCTGTGCTCAATCCACTGAGCTACACCAGCCAGGGCTCTCTTTGTTCTTCAGGTGTTGTCATTTCAGAAATGATGTGCTTTGGCTTAGTTCTTAAAATTTTTCTTTCTGAACATCCACTGTGCCCTTTAAAAAAATCATGCCGTTCTACTCTGGTATCTCCTTAAATAATTCCCTTGATGTGCTCCTCTGCAGTTTTCTCACACAGGTTTCTTGAGTCAGAGTAGGTAGCTCTTATACCACCTACATGAATCCTAATCCTCTCATACTTTTCCTCAAATTTACTCCCCCCCCTTTTAACTAGTATATTTATACTCTAGGAAATCTTGGCTGTTTTACAACCATTTTAGTACATTTAAGGAAATACTTAAAAATTGATTAAAAAATACCTAACCACTACCTTCTTCTCAGTTATGTCCCCCATCCCTGCATCCTGTAGCACAACATGTATTCTCAAAACTCTAAAAATATTAGAGTTTTAAAAATCTTTCTCTTGCTTACAACAATATCATTGTTTCTCCTGGGGTAACTTCTTTCTCTTTTTAATGTTATGCTTTCTTTAATTTATTGCAGAATTTCCTCAAATTAGTGTTCATCTCCAGTTAAACTCTAGTTAAGTACCAACTTAAGAGAGGGTCTAAAAATCAATCAATATGAATTGAATATTAAAGAGAATAAAGATGAAAAACCATGTAAATAGCTCAGTAGATGCATTTGATAATATTTAATAATAAAACTCTCAGCAAACTAGGGAGAAACAGAAACTTCTTGTCATATGTATATATGTACAAAAATGTACAGCATATGTCATACTTAATAGTGATACTGAATGCTTTTTCTCTGAGATTGAAAACAAGACAAGCAAGGTTACTCTTACTACTTCTCCTCAACATTATATTTAAACTCCTAACCACTGTATGAGAAGAAAAAGAAATAATTGCTGGAAAGGAGTAAGAAAGAGTTTTATCTGGCAAAGACGTGAATATTTTCTATGAAATCCAAAAAGAATCTATGATATTTTATTAGAACTAGTAAGATAATTTAGGAAAGTTTTGTATACACGGTTAATGCTTTTCAAAACCAATTCTAATTACAAATGATAGAACAAGCAATTTAAAAAACAATACCATTTTAAGCAGGAAAAACATAACTAGTGGCAGTTTTCATAACAATGTGCATGACTTCTATACTGAAAACTATAAA